ACCCCCCGCCCCAAAAGAGTACATCTGATCATTTTAGCCTGCAACTAATGAGAGCGATATTAGGACTAGTTAACCACAGTTTTACAAGACTCCTCTCCCTGCATGTGGGCCATTGTCATGCTGGTGGGCGTCCCGCCCACCTGAAGGGTCTCCCCGCCCCGACTGGGGTTTGTTGTTGAAGAAGGAGAATCCCCGGAAAGGCTGAGTCTCCAGCTCAAGGTCTAAACTTTAAAGGACGAAAGCCCTCCAGTTTCCCCTGGACATCTTGTTCCTGCTTCTGCTACGACCTTCTGGGGAACGCATATTTCTCATTTTCTTCTTAAATTGCCATTTTCGCTTTAGGAGATGAATGTTTTCCTTTGGCTGTTTTGGCAATGACTCTGAATTAAAGCGATGCTAACGCCTTCTTTCCCCGCTAATTGCTAAAAGCTACGGACTGCAGGAAGATGGCCCGCTTCTCTTACAGGTATGAGCTAATCTTGAATGTGAGCTTTTTTTGATTGCTAGAGATTGCCAGTTTAGGAAATGAATGTTCTACACCCGTCATTTGATTTTTCTCTTGCTTAAGCCTTAAAGTGCTGCCAACAGCACTGCTCTTTTTCCTGAAAGACCTGGAATTTCACACTGTTACTTCTAACTTTGCCGTTGGCTTTTAACATTTTCCTGTTAATGTTAATTTTCATTTTACGTTAATGACTCTGTCTATGAAATATTGTTTTTTTGTGTGTGTGTAAACAAAGGTCAATACTACAACCAAATTTAAAATCTTCTGAAAAGATTAAAGGTATAAGCAGATACGATACTTGCAAAACCATTAAGATAACAGCAAAAAAAAAAAAAAAAAAAAACCCACATTTTTTACCTAAAAACCTTTTAAATGATTGGTTAAAATAGTTTGGCCGGGCACGGTGGCTCACGCCTGTAATCCCAACACTTTGGGAAGCCAAGGCGGGTGGATCACCTGAGGTCAGGAGTTTGAGACCAGCCTGGCCAACATGGTGAAACCCTGTCTCTACTAAAAATACAAAAATTAGGATTACAGGTGTCAGACACCTGTAATCCCAGCTACTCCAGAGGCTGAGGCAGGAGAATCGCTTGAGGCAGAGGTTGCAGTGAGCTGAGATCACACCATTGCACTCCAGCCTGGGTGAAAAAGCGAAACTCCATCTCAAAAAATAAAGTAGTTTGTAAAATGTGATTCATCAGTAACATGGGACGCAGCCATTTTTAAATCCTTGTATGAAAACTGTATGCAGGAGAAAAATATGTGAAATAAAAGACAAAAGACCTAAAATTAGGTACTTATGTGAGGACAGGGCCTAAGAAATAATAAAATATATTAAAAAGACTTGGATATTGGTGACTTTTTCAACATTTTTCTTTGTTACATGAATTGGCCATTAAAGAAAGAAAGGTGGCGCTCTACAATTTCTCTTGAGTGATCTGTGGTCTTGTCCTTGCGATGGGAGGACCCAGGTGTTAACTTGTAAGGCTTTATTTCCTTTGTTTTGCTAACTCATGTCTGACTTCCTCTTCCTAGTGTGATTTGGATCATGGCCATTTCTAAAGCCTTTGAACTGGGATTAGTTGCCGGTGAGAGACCTTTCGTTATTTTGATCACTCACAATTTTTATGTGGCCTGAAATACAGACTCCATGAACTGATTTTGTCCTTAAGGGCTCAGCCATCAGGAATTTGCACGTCCATCTCGGGGAGACCTGGCCTTCAGAGATGACAGCATTCGGCCCCAGGAGGAGCCTGCAATTCGGCCTCGGTCTTCCCAGCATGTGTCGCCCATGGGGATACAGAACAGTAAGAACTGCCTGGCTTCGATGCTTCTGCCCTGGCCCTTCATGTGTCTCCTGAGTATCTTTCCAACGCTCTTTCACCTAAAAAGGGCACCTGGTTCTGGAACTGGACAGGTGCTGGACTGCTTTTGGTTTTGGAAGTGAGACAGGGATTGTGTATTTTACTTCCCTAGAGCGCAGTTTTCCTCACCTGAGTCCACTTCACGCTGGGGAACCCCAGAACCACCACTGGCCTATGCATGAAAATGACTTCTGCTCAAAGGCGCAGAGTCTTATTCTGTGGGACAACACATTAGTGTTGCATTAACCTTCGCTTTCAGGAATTGCCCTTGCACTTTTCCATCCCTACACCCTCAGTCATCTGTTCTTACCTTTCAGGTAAGGAGCTAAACAGAACCTGCTGCCTGAATGGGGGAACCTGCATGCTGGGGTCCTTTTGTGCCTGCCCCCCCTCCTTCTACGGACGAAACTGTGAGCATGATGTGCGCAAAGAGTAAGCCATTCAGAGGGGAGGGCAGCCGTGGAGAGGAGAGGGAAAGGGAAGTAGAAATTTCAGACCCATGGCTATTGCCTTACCTGTTCATTCTCAGGAACTGTGGGTCTGTGCCCCATGACACCTGGCTGCCCAAGAAGTGTTCCCTGTGTAAATGCTGGCATGGCCAGCTCCGCTGCTTTCCTCAGGCATTTCTACCTGGATGTGGTAAGCTGAGGTTCTCTTTCTTTTGCCCTTTGAAGTTGCCTTGGGGGGTGCTTAGTTAGCAGGCTCTCCTTGTACCTCTTGGCTTGCTAGAGCCTAGCAACCAAAGTTCTGCTTATAAAAGCATCACAGACTCTTGATGAGATAGTTGCCTTGGCTTCTTTGATATTTATTTCCTCGGAAACCTGGCTAGTCCTGCTGCCTTTCAGATGGAGATGTATTTCAAGTTCTATTTGACATTTTATGGTCTGAACTTCTATTGAGGAAAACAAACAAGTCTTGGTGTCTTGTTTAACCAAGAGATGTTCTCTGGTGTTCCTTTCCTTTGGGCAGGAGGACCCAAACCAGGATGGGCAGCTCATTTGGAGTCCACCCCAACAGCAAACTCTATCAGAGGCTTGGCCCCTTGCTAGTCCTTTAGGAACTTCCAGGGTCCTAAAAGTCCCTGGTAACCCTCTCCCCATACCTTACCATGACTGGTCACAGAACCCTTTCACCTTATTGATTTTTACTAATTTGAGGAAAACAATGAAAAGAAGGGCAGCACCTGGAGAGAAAAAGAGGCGACGGTCCTCTCTCCACCCCAGCCTGAGCCAGGTTTCTAGGGCCCCCCAAGTTCAGAGACCTATAATAGTTTTGGGCTTGGAGATGTTAGAAATGGAAAATATTCAAGTCCAGGAAGTAAATGAAAGCAAACATTTCACTGAGAACAGGAAGGAATTCCCCAATCCAGACAGGGATTGTGTCTTTGCCATTTGTATCCTGGGTGTCAGACTCAGGATAGGTGTTTGATAAGTGTAGGTTGAATGATTGGATATGTAGGGACCATGTTCTCTTCCCGGAACATGGGACCCATCAGAACCTAATCAGGTTCTGCTCATCCCTGCAAGTGAAGGCATCACCACTGGGCTAGGTTCCAATGTGAGTGTTCTGAGAAGAGTAGGTTCACAGTAGGCATGTAGATATGCCACGTTTGTGGGCAGCAGGATGAACTGCCAGAGAGCTTTCCTTTAATGATCAAGCATCCCTACCTTCCAGATGGCCTTGTGATGGATGAGCACCTCGTGGCTTCCAGGACTCCAGAACTACCACCGTCTGCACGTACCGCTTTTATGCTAGCTGGCATCTGCCTTTCTATACAAAGTTACTGTTAATTGACATTGACCTATTTCCAGAAATATAATTTTAGATATCATGCAAATTTCATGACCAGTAAAGGCGGCTGCTACAATGTCCTAACTGAAAGATGATCATTTGTTAGTTGCCTTAAAATTATGAATACATTTCCAAAATGGTCTCTAATGTTTCCTTACAGAACTGACTACTTCTTACCTCTTTGCCCTGCCCTCTCCCAAAAAACTACTTCTTTTTTCAAAAGAAAGTCAGCCATATCGGCCGGGCGCGGTGGCTCACGCCTGTAATCCCAGCACTTTGGGAGGCCGAGGTGGGCAGATCACGAGATCAGGAGATCGAGACCATCCTGACTGACACTGTGAAACCCCGTCTCTACTAAAAATACAAAAAATTAGCCGGGAGTGTTGGCGGGCACCTGTAGTCCCAGGTACTCGGGAGACTGAGGCAGGAGAATGGTGTGAACCAGGGAGGCGGAGCTTGCAGTGAGCCGAGATCGCGCCACTGCACTCCAGCCTGGGCGACAGAGCAAGACTCCGTCTCAAAAAATAAAGAAAAAAAGAAAGTCAGCAATATCTCCATTGTGCCCAAGTCCAGTGGTTCTTTTTTTTGAGATGGAGTCTCACTCTGTCACCTAGGCTGGAGTGCAATGGCGCAATCTCAGTTCACTGCAATCTCTGCATCCTGGGTTCAAGCAATTCTCCTGCCTCAGCCTCCCAAGTAGCTGGGATTACAGGCATGTGCCACCATGCCCGGCTAATTTTTTTGTGTTTTTAATAGAGACGCGGTTTCAATGTATTGGCTAGGCTGGTCTCAAACTTCTGACCTTGTGATCCACCTGCCTAAGCCTCTCAAAGTGCTGGGATTACACACGTGAGCAACCACGCAAGGCCTGGTGTTTCTTGATACATGTAATTCTACCAAGGTCTTCTTAATATGTTCTTTTAAATGATTGAATTATATCTTCAGATTATTAAAGACTAATTCTAATGTGGACCTTAGGATACAGTTTTGAGTAGAGTTGATCAAAATCAATTAAAATAGTCTCTCTAGAAGGAAAGAAAGCCTCTTTAAGGGGAGGAACCAGAGTGCTGAAGGAATGGAAGTCTGTCTGCGTGTGTGCGGGGAGACTGGGTAGGAAAGAGGAAGCAAAGAGAAGAGAGAGGTTGGAAAACGTAAAATGGGTTACTTGATTGGTGATTAGGTGGGTGTAGAGAAGCAAGTAAAAAGGCTAAATGAAAGGGCAAGTTTCCGTCATGTACAGAAAGCTATATAAGACAAGGACTCCCGTTTTTTTCCCCAAAGGCATTGTAAAAAGAATGAAGTCTCCTTAGAAAAAAAATTATACCTCAATATCCCCAAAAACATTGCTTAATAAATTATGTTTCCTCCAAGCTGTGCAATTCTTTTAACTATTGTAGAAGAGAAAATGTTCACAGTGTATTTAGTTGTAAACCAAGTGATCAAACTACATATTGTAAAACCCATTTTTAAAATACATTGTATATATGTGTATGCGCAGTAAAAATGGAAACTATTGACCTAAATGTGAACTGGTTCTTTCTAGGTGATGAGGTGCTTTATGGTGGTAGGTTTTTGCTCTCTGTGCCCTTCTGCATTTTCCAAAGTACCATGGTGAGGATGTGTTGTATCTGTTTTCCAGGGTCCTAAAAGTCCCTGGCAACCCCCTCCCCGTCCCCCACCATGACTGGTCACAGAACCCTTTCACCTTATTGATTTGTACTGATTTTTTTACTGATTTCATACGGAATATGGCAACTATATCTGGCTCAAAACTGAGGAAACCAGAAGAGCCAAGTCCCAGGTGAGTGCTCAGTTCTGTTTCTGGCTTTGACGTGTGTGTTCTTCTGTGAAGGACAAGATTTGCTTCTATTATTTAGGTACCACTTGGTCCATAATTTGTGTTTTTCCTAATTAATTTCCTGCAGATGCAAACTTCCAAATAGGTGAAATTTTTTACAGTGCCCAGTGGAAAGAAAGTGAAATGGGATAAGCAGGAAGCAGTGAGGTGTACCAGAAAGCACAAAATCAGGAGGTGGACAGGCTGGGTTTGGAAGGTGGTCTGGCCACTTACTGACAGTTGGACCCAGCTTCCTGATCTGAATCTGGATTAGTGCCTACATCACAGTATTAGAACTAAGTGACATAAAATAGTTAAATAGTTAAAACATTTATACAAAATAGGTTCTCAATAAATGTCATATTTTCTTCTCTTTTTACCTGCATATTTACCACAGAGGATTTTAAAACATTTCTGGGGCCAGAAATATAATTTTTTTTTTTCTGAGACAGGATTTCATGCTGTCCCCCAGGCTGGACTGCAGTGGTGCATTCACAGCAGCTCACTGCAGCCTTGACCGCCTGAGCTCAAGCGCTCCTGCCACCTCAGTCTCCCAAGTAGCTGGGACCACAGGAGCACACCACCACAACCAGCTAATTTTGCTTATTTTTTATAGAGATGGGTTCTTGATTTAAGCCACATCATCTGCTAATTTTTTTCTTTATATCAACTTATTTTTATTGTGGTAAAATATACATAACATTTACCATTTTAACCATTTGTAAGTTCAGTAGCATTTAAGTACATTTGTATTGTTGTGCAACTGTCACCACCATCTATTTGCAAAACTTTTTCATCATCCTAAGCTGAAATTCTACCTATTAAACATTAACTTCCCCTTTGCCCTTCCCCAGGACCCTGGTAACCACTCTTAACTTTGTCTCTGAATTTGACTGTTCTGGATACCTCCAGTAGGGGGAGTTGTACGCTATTTGTCCTTTTGTGGCTGGCTTATTTCACTCAGCATGGTGTCTTCAAGGCTCATCCATGTTGCAGCGTGTGTCAAACTTTTTTTTTTTTTTGATGCTGAATATATTTCATTGTATGTGTGTACCACATTCATCCATTGATGGACATTTGAGTTGTTTCCACCTTTGATTACTGTGAATCATGCTACTGTGAACACTGGTGTACAAATACCTGTTTTGAGTCCCTGCTTTCTTTTGTGTACATACTCAGAAGTGGAATTGCTGAATAATATGGTAATACCAAGTCTCAATTTTGTGACATTTTGCATTCCCACCAGCAATGCACAAGGGTTCTAGTTTCTCTACATCCTTGCCTGGCACCTGCTTTGTTTTGTTTTGTTTTGTTTTCATATTAGTTATCCTGATGAGTGTGAAGTGGTATCTCATGGTTTGGATTTGCATCTCCCTAATTATTAGAGATGAGGATTTTTTTTCATGTACTTAGTGGCTATCAACTCATTTTTAAAAATGCTTTCTACTTGGCCAAAGGAATAGCATTTGTGAAGTCCCAGATAATTTACACAAGTCTTGAAATTAAAAAATAGTAATGTTCACCTGCAAGCCATCTAAAATTATGAAGCAGAGGTACATGTTGGGAAATGGTTCTCTGGGGGGATACGCGAGACTCTAGATTCTACTTTCAGCTGGCCTACAGAGTCCTGAAAGTACTGGTCCCCTTGTGGGACCCATAGACATGCGTGGGTCCACGTTCTGGGGGTGGAGGGCATTCCCTGTGGGTGGACTCCCCCTGGTTCATTCAAAACACTGGTGCTGGTTGTTTGGTTTTTGTTTTTTTTTTTTTTTTTTTTTTTGACAGAGTCTCACTGGGTTGCACAGGCTGGAGTGCAGTGGTGCGATCTTGGCTCACTGCAAGCTCCGCCTCCTGGGTTCACGCCATTCTCCCGCCTCAGTCTCCCAAGTAGCTGGGACTACAGGCACCTGCCACCACACCTGGCTAATATTTGTATTTTTAGTAGAGATGGAGTTTCACCATATTAGCCAGGCTGGTCTCAAACTCCTGACCTCAAGTGATCCGCCTACCTCAGCCTCCCAAAGTGCTGTGATTACAGCCATGAGCCACCATGCCCAGCCAATGGTGCTGTTTTAAAGGCCTGACATCAGAGAATGGTTTACTTATAAGAGCTCAGCCTCCACCATGGAATATTATATCACCTTTAAAAAATCATCTTTAGAAAGGATTTTTAATGCTCTGGAGAAATACTGAAGATACTATGTCAGGTGTTAAAGGGAGAATATAGTATGGTCTCAACTAGAATTCTTAAAAGGTAGGAAACAAAAATATTAAAGCAGTCAGTTCTGAATAGGATAATTATGGGTAATTTTACATTTTATTTTTTCAAACTAAATAGCATGTAATTAATTTCATAATTGGGGAGTTAAGTTTTTGTAAATAAAGGCAAAACTTAGTATGAATTTGTGAGGTTACAAATAATCCAAGTAAAGTTCATGGGTGCTTTCATGGGCAAAGGAGGAGTCATCCTGGGACAACTATGAAATGATAAGGGGAAAAAACCTTCGAGATGAGTGGCTAGATGCAGAATACATGTTTCTATTTCAATGAAAATTATGACAGGATTGTACTATGGTGACATCAGTAAATAAAAGAAAATTAGAGGCCAAGCATGGTGGCTCACGCCTGTAATCCCAGCACTTTGGGAAAAGGCTGAGATGGATGGATCACTTGAGGTCAGGAGTGTTGAGACCAGCCTGGCCAACATAGTGAAACCCCATCTCCACTAAGAAAGGATACAAAAATTAGCTGAGTATAGTGATGTGCACCTGTAATCCCAGCCACTCGGGAGGCTGAGGCAGGAGAATTACTTGAACCTGGGAGGCAGAGGTTGCAGTGAGCCGAGATCCCACCCCTGCACTCCAGCCTGGGCCACAGAGCGAGACTTCATCTCAAAAAATAAAATAAAATAAGAGAAAATTAGAGGAAACGCAACGCTGGTAGAAGCAGTTGCTTTGGAATGTGTCTGAGATGACACATATTTTGTATGCCATATGTATTATATGTTGTATTCTTGAAATAAAGTAAACTACAGAAGAGTATTAAGAGAATCATAAGGAAGAGAAAATATATTTACTATCCATACAGTGGAAGTGGGTCATCATAAAGGTCTTCATCCTCATCGTCTTTCCGAAGAGACTCGTGTCCCAGAGGGGTTTCTTGAGCGCCCTGGGCACAGCCCTTGCCAGCCAGGGAGAGGTGACACCGATGCTGCAGTCAGTAGACACCTCACCTGCATTGCTGGGTGCGATGGGGAGCTCTGGAGCCATGGGGAGTTCTGGAGCTGG